TATATATATATCCTCCACTTTGATCAACTGATCAAAACAAGTGTTCCTGAGATTCTCTGTTAACTCTTATTACCTAAACAAACAGCCTAGAGTCGGGAGGTATTTTATTATAATTTTTTTTCCTTCATTGTGTTAAAGGTAGATTTTGCCTTGGTTAAGAACTATGTTCAGGGAGCTTAGGCTCAAAAAGGGTGGTAATCACTGGTGTAGCTACAAAAATATTTCAGTAATTACACTTAAACAAATAAAATAATATTATTAAAGTTGTAATTTAATTATTGTTAAAGTTAGAAGATTCAATTCAGTTTATTTATATAGCGCCAAGTCACAACATACATTGTCTCAGGGCACTGTACATAAAAAAGAACAATCTAAAGAAGAAACCAGCAGATTGTGTTGAATCTGAGGCATTTTGGTGTTCTCGCCCCCTGCCTCCCGGRCTGGGCACTGCGCTAATCACCCACACCTGCACCGAGTTGGCTCATCATCTCCAGGCTTTATAAGGCAGTGCTGGAGTTCATCTCGTCGCTGAAGCATCGCCTCTGTTTGGTATGAGCTCAGCCTGCTACCTGTTGTCCTCCTGAAGAAATTATCTTACCTGTGTTCTTGTGACTTACCTGTTTTCAGAAGAGTACATTTATCTTCTGCCTTGGAACCCGAGCCTACTCACCAGGATCTCTTGCGCTGCCTCCCACGCGACACTGTAAATAAATCTGCACCTGTAAATACTCACCTGTGGAAACTCACCTGTTGGACCTCCTCCTCCAAGTTTCATCTCCTTCTCCAACCCGTAAGCCATCTCTTCAACTACTTACCTGTCAAAAACCAATACTGGAAAATCTGCCCATTTCTCATCTCTGTAAAAACTCTGTTTCAGATCCCGTCCCCAGTTCCCGGCACCTGTATAAATAAAATCACTTACCTTTTGTATTCAACATTTCCGTCTCTGTTTGTCAATAGTATTTGCTCACGTCGACCTCGTCCTGAAAACCTGATAGAATGCTTCAGCGACGAGATGAACTCCAGCACTGCCTTACAAAGCCTGGAGGTGATGAGCCAACTCGGTGCAGGTGTGGGTGATTAGCGCAGTGCCCAGTCCGGGAGGCAGGGGCCGAGAACACCAAAATGCCTCAGAATCACTTCATCACAGTCTCCCATCCTGAGCAAACGGTGGAGAGGAAAAACCATTGATATACACTGCTCAAAAAAATAAAGGGAACACTTAAACAATGCACGCTAACTCCCGATCTTAATCAATGAAATATTCGCATTGAGTACTTTGTTCTGTACAGAGTTGAATGTGCTTCACAAAAGTTTGATTTACTTGGACTTAGCATGCGTTGTTTAAGTGTTCCCTTTATTTTTTTGAGCAGTGTACATATATTACTGGATTGGGCATGGCTAGCACGTCGCTAGCTACATTGACGTGTACGCACTGGAGCTCTTATGCATTGAGGGGCCTCAACAAAGAATGAATGTCAAAGGACTGTGAGGTGTCTTCCTGTAGAAAAACTCTTATAACTTCCTTATTTCTTGCTCGATTTTTACAAACTATGGTTCAAAATAAAGCTGAGGAAATTGTGAATTTTATAGTTATGGAAATTTAAAATGGCCTCTCTGTGAACAAGAGGGTAGCCTCCCTCTGCCTACGGGTGGGGGGACGGGTCCTGACGTTTGTGCCTATGCGCCTACCAGCAGGTCAGATTACCCACCCTTTATGGAGACCTTGGAGGGGGTGCTGGAGAGTGCTCCTAACGGGGACTCCCTCATTCTGCTGGGGGACTTCAWCGCTCACGTGGGTAATGACAGTGAGACCTGGAGAGGCGTGGTTAGGAGGAACGGCCCCCCCGATCTGAACCCRAGCGGTGTTTTGTTATTGGACTTCTGTGCTCRTCATGGATTGTMCATAAYAAACACCATGTTCAARCATAAGGGTGTCCATATGTGCTTTTGGCACCAGGACACCCTAGGCCGCAGTTCGATGATCGACTTTGTTGTAGTTTCATCTGATCTGCTGCTGCATGTTTTGGACACTCGAGTGAAGAGAGGGGCAGAGCTGTCAACTGACCACTACCTGGTGGTGAGTTGGCTCCATTGGTGGGGGAGGATGCCGGTCAGACCTGGCAGACTCAAATGTATAGTGAAGGTCTGCTGGGAACGTCTGTCAGAGTCTCCCATCAGACGGAGCTTCAACTCACACCTCCAGGGGAACTTCGAACATGATCCGGGGGAGGTGGGGGACATTGAGTTTGAGTGGGCCATGTTCCATGCCTCCATTGTCAAGGCGGCTTACCTGAGCTGTGGCCGTAAGGTTGTCGGTGCCTGTCGTGGCTGCAACCCTCAAACCCGCTGGTGGACACCAGAGGTGAGGGATGCTGTCAGGCTGAAGAATGAGTCCTATCGGGTCTTTTTGGCCTGTGGGACTCYGGAAGCAGCCGATAGGTATCGGCAGTCCAAGCTGATTGTGGCTCGAGTGGTCGCCGAGGCAAAAACTCGGACGTGGGAGGAGTTCGGAGAGGCCATGGAAAATGACTTCCATACAGATTCGAGACGATTCTGGTCCACCATCTGGTGTCTCGGTGGGGGGGAGTAGTTCACCACCAACACTATTTATGTTGGGGATGGTGCGCTGCTGACCTAAACTCGGGACGTTGTGGGTCGGTGGGCGGAATACTTCGAGGACCTCCTCAATCCTACCGACACATCTTCCCATGAGGAAGCAGAGCCTGGGGACCCTGGGTCGGACTCTCCAATCTCCGGTGCCGAGGTCACTGAGGTGGTTAAAAAGCTCTTCAGTGGCAGGGCGCTGGGGATGGATGAGATACGCCCAGAGTTCCTTAAGGCTCTGGATGTTGTGGGGTTGCATTGGTTGATGCCACTCTACAATATCGCATGGACATCAGGGACAGTTCCCCTGGACTAGCAGACCGGGGTGGTGGTCCACCTATTTAAAAAGGGGGGCCGCAGTGTGTCACACTTCTGAGCCTCCCTGGTAAGGTATCTTCGGGGGTTCTGGAGAGGAGGGTCCATCGGATAGTCGAATCTCGGATTCAGGAAGAGGAGTATGGTTTTCATCCTAATCGTGGAACAGCGGACCAGCTCTACACCCTTAGCAGGGTCTTGGAGAGTGCATGGGAGTTCGCCCAACCAGTCTACATGTGTTTTGTGGACTTGGAGAAGGCGTTCGACCATGTCCCTCAGGGACTCCTGTGGGGGGTACTCCGGGAGTATGGGGTACCAGGCCCATTTATATGGGCTGTTAGGTCCTTGTACGACCGGTGCCAGAGCTTGGTCTGCATTGCCGGTAGTAAGTCGGGACTCATTTCCGGTGAGAGTTGGACTCCACCAAGGTTCCCCTTTGCTTCAGTCTGTGCAGAACGCTGAGGCGAGGTTATTAACAAAGACCCACAGGAGAGCCCACATTACACCTGTTTTAGCCTCTCTGCA